AAATGTGTGTGGCTCTGGTGCCCACAGTTCAATAATGCTGATGAATTAGGGTTCAGAGGAGGCCACAATAATGGGTAAAGAATTAGGAAACCGGCCTTACAGTGATAGACTTGAGGAGCTTGATATATTTAGCATAAGAGAGAATGCTGAAGGGTGACTGATTCCAATCCATAAATGCATACACAGGGAACAAATATTTAATAAAGGATAGGGCTGTCAAGCGATTAAAAAGTGTAATTGCGTGCGCCTCCTCTTTGAAACGCCATGGTGGCGTTTCAATGGGGCAGCGATGCATGGACCCCGGGGATCAGCTGGAGTCCCCACTGACCCCAGGCTCCTTGCAGCGCTGCCCCTTTGAAACACCACGGCGACGTTTCCAAAGGACAGCGCATTAGGAGCCTGGGATCAGCTGGGGATTCCAGCTGATCCCCAGCTCTGCTTGCGCTGCCCCTTTGAAGCGCAGAAGCAGCACTTCAAAGGGGTAGCGCAGCATTAACGCCTGCGATTAATGCGTTAAAAAAAGAACGTGTTAATCCTGTCCTGTGTTGATTGCAGGCGTTCACGCTGGTCAATTGACAGCCCTAATAAAGGGCTCTTCAGTCAGGTGGAAAGAGGCAGAATACACTCCAGAGGCTGGAAGTTGAAACTAGACAAGTTCAGGCTCGAAATGAGGCATACGTTGTCAGGAATGAGAGTGAGTAACCACAGAACCTAGATGGTGATTATTTTAAAATCTAGATGGGGCTGTTTTTCAGAAAGCTCTGCTCTAGGAATATTGTGGGGCAGTTCTCTGATCTGTGTAATACAGGAAGTTTGACGGGATAATCCCAGTGTCCGTTCTGGCCTTTGAAAAATCTCTGAAAAGCTGAGAGGCCAGGAAACGGGACAAAACTTAGTAAAACGAAGTGGACTAGCTAGGCCCTGCACTGTCCAGGAGTTAGAAGGAATTAGGGAACAGAGAGTATCTGTTAGGGTCCCGTAGGTGGTTACATGATTAATTCCCAGTGATACTCTGGGCCTGGTAGAGGAGCTTGATTCTTTCCAGATATTGTCTTCTGTGTTTCCATGGGCCACAAGCTTCTCTTGCAGTTCTAGCAAGTGGGGTGAAGGAGGTGGAGGGCGCGTGTCTCAATGGCATGCGGCTGATTGTGTGACTGGGCTCTGCTTGTGAGTGGGAAAAGTACTTTCTCCCCGGCTGTGTCCAGCGCGAGTGGAAAGCACATGTATCTGGTGGTGAGAGTACACGCTGGCAGGTGAGGAGCTAGGATTGCTACGGAGGGTTTTGACTTTCCCAGGTAAATGCTGGTGAAGTCTTTCAAGAGGTAGGATCTCAAGCAGTGCGTCTGGTAAGAACATGCCTGTTCTCCTTGGAACAGCTGTGACGTCCTGGGCTCCTGGCCGCTGTCTGCAGGCACACTGGGCACTCCAGTAGCATGCAGCAATATGAGGGGAACTAGAAAGGCTCTTTAAGGCTGGAATTCTGTGTTGTTACTCCCCAGGTACAGCTAGAGAAGCTGCTGCACTGGAACATGGCCGTGCGGGATTTCCATATCCTTGTTAACTTGGTCAAGGTGAGCACATGCATCTGTCCTTCCTTGCGCATTCCCAGCAGAGTCCACCCACCCAAGTCCTCTGCATAATTCACGGGGCTGTGGATGTTAATAGGCGCCATCGGGTCATTGTTTGCTTGACAATTGCAGGTGTTTGGAGCTATTGTGTTACAGACAGGCACATCAGTGTACAGCCTTGCCGGGTCTCAGGACAACCCTCACGCTGCCCCTCTGCACTTTTAAACTTGTGACAGCCCCGCCCCACGCGGCCACTCTGCATTTTTAAAGGGACACAGCAGAGGCAGCCAGGGTGTGCTGAGACAGACACGTGGACGGGCTGCCGCGGTGTCCCTTTAAAAATGCAGAGGGGCAGTGTGAGGGTGGTCCTGAGACCTGGCAGGGACCATTGAATGAGCAGGGTCTTTGCACACCGGCTCCTCTCTGTCCCTTTAAGTGTGCAGGTGGGGGAGTAGTCGATAGTGCAACCAGTAAGTTTGTAGTCGACTACTCAACTACTCCTTCACCTCCCTGAGCTGCATTGAGCAGAGTGGATGCAGTTAGTTTAGAACCCTGAGCAATTTAAAGTATCCGTTCCAAAGTGCGTTTCTGGCATGTGCCAGCACTGGATTCGTATGTTGTTCTGTTGCCTAGGCCCCTAGCTGGGTTGGGTCTGGTGAAAACTGAGGAACTGCAGATTTGCATCAGCTGCCACCATCTGCTCCCCTCCCTTGTCCCTCTTAGCTCCTTGCCTTAGTGCTCCTGCTGGTAGCCTGTTCACCTGCCCACTGATCCTCGTTTCCTAGCCGGTTCCGGACCCGAGGAGAGCACTTCTCATCCTTAGGCTTGGTTACAGTGTCACTCTCTCTTCCTCTTCTCTGCCATGGAAACCCTCAGTTCACACGAGACTCCCCTCTTCGATCTGGAGGCAGGTTCCAGCTGAGCCTGGCTTCACACTGCTGCCCCAAATGCTGGGGACACCATCCGCTCAGTGCTAGTTTTTACCAGCTTGCTCTTGCTGTTCCTTCCCTGTCCCAGTGGGGCTGACCTGTCTCTCTCCTTCTCTCCGAGCAGGTGTTTGACAGCAGGCCTGTGCTCAGCGTCTGCCTGAAGGTGAGTGAGAACTCAGGCTGTGCGAATGGCAGCCTGGCTGCTGGGTCAGGTGGGTGGGCTCAGTGAGAGAATCCCCCTGCTGTGCTAGTGCTCTAGGGCTCCCTGCCCTCCTTCATACCCAGAAGTCCGTTGGCAGTCTGCTTACCCAGCCTCTGCTGCCTGTGGCATCCCACCCGCCGAACAAGTACAGAGCGGCCCAGCCAAGGGAGCAGCGTGTGGCCCTCCGTGGCCCTCTCTCCAGCTGGGGCCTCACCGACTGGCTGTGTCATTGCCGCGTACTTCTTATTGGCTTCCTAGCCCCTCTGCATGCCTCCAAAGCGCCTAGTCTTGTGTGCAGTTGGTTTTCAGTGGGGCACCCCAGGAAAGAGAGATCCAAACTGGCCCGTAAGCAGGAGAGGTCTGTGATGGCCTTTGCCCTAAGAGAGGGAACCTTTCCCTGCTTCCCTGAACTCCCTGCTAGTATGGAATTGCCCTGGGCTCATCCAAAGAGGAGCTGTACGTTTGCTTGGTGCACAGTGTATTGAATGGTCTTTCTGCACTCACAGCATGGCCGCCTCTTTGTGGAAGCCTTCCTGAAGCTCGCCATGCCTCTCTTGGACCACAGCTTTAAGCAGCACAGGGTAAGACTTACAGAGCGCAGAGCCTGCCCGAAATCCACCTGGAAGTTGTAGTAAGAGCGGAGTGCCCAGCATGTCAGTCGAGCAGTCTCCAGAGGGCAGGAGCATGGATCCTAGTTAGAATGGCTGCAGCCTCCTGGCCCAGTGCAGACGTGGGACAAGCCCTCTCTTCACTTCACTGTGAGCAGGCTCAGAGCAGGGGGCTGGGCCTGCTGTGGCCTTTCAGCCAGTGACTGCAGCTGCACGTGGAAAGCCGATTGTCTCCAGGCAACGGGGCCCTATAGGGGCAGGGATGTGCACGAGAACAGTTAGCTCACGGTGTCGGGCTGGCCTCGGCTGCTGTGCTGGGATTTGTGTGGAGTGATGTCGCTGAGGTGCACCTGGTGAGCAGGCGCTCATTGGCTCTGCACAGAGTCGAGCTGCCTTCGGGCTGCCATGTCTAGCGTGGAGTGGGGAGAGTGCAGCGCTGGGAGGGATGATTGGACAGCCCTTGTTCTTGCTCCTTTCTGAGGGGAGCAAATTCTTATGGGTTTGAAAATGCAGCTCCAGTGACTCTTGGGTCCTTTTCATCACAGGAAGATGTGCAGAGTTTGCTGAAAACTCTGCAGCTGAGCACCAGACAACTTCATCACATGTGTGGCCATTCAAAGGTAAGGGAACCTCTCGCGTGCACTAGCTTTTGTGTTTGCAAGGCCTTCGCTAGTCAGAGCTGATTTCTCTGTCTCTGGGGTCCCACACAAGACCCCTCACAGGAACGTGCCCAGGATAAAGCCCCTGTCATAGTCTGTGGCTTCTGGATGGTTGACGATTCCCAAGAGCAAAGCTGCTCTGGGTGCAGTAAGCACAGGCACCTGCCTGCAGACTGTTCTGCATTCCCTTGCCGCAGTCTCAGGGGCTACGCTTACTCATCACCAGCCTCCTCTGCTGCCCAGGCCCAGGTGTCTGGGAGAGAGTAATTCCATGGGCAAGTTAGCAATGGAAAGGGGAAAGGGAATTTTCAACATTTCAACTCCACTGTTGATCAGCTGTGCACCTGCAGCACAAGAGACCCCAGGCTGGGGCCTTCCCCCTCAGGCTTTGTCACCAGTGAAAAGCCGCATGCCAGCACGTCACAGTAACTGGCTGTGGCATAGTGCAGGGGCCTTTCTGGTGGCTGGGCTTGGGCAGTGGGCGGTGGGTGACCTCCGCTGGCGGCTGTCTGTAGCACGGCCCAGCAGGACAGGGGATGAGTCACTAGGCAAGGGGCTCCCAACCCGTCCGACCGGTCGCCTCCCAGGGAGACAGGGAGGTGGGGGCAGGGCTGGAAGAGAGTCAATTTCTGTCTGGGAAGCAGGGGAGAAGGAGCTAGGGATGGGGCTGGGATTGTAGGGCCCAGCCACCCCCCATCTCAAGGGGGGGCCTGAGGCCTCCTAGCCCCAGTTCCTGTAACCAGATTGCATCCGTGCTGTGCTGTATCCTGGAGAAGCAATAAACTCCCTCAACCCTACTTGCTGGCGGAGTCTGTTCGTGTCACTACGGGGGTGCAGGAGAGGGGAACCCCAACACGCTGTCACACTGGCACACCTGGGGCTTCCTTCAGTGGGAGGAGGCAAGTGTGCGCCTCCCGAAGGCTAAAGAGGGGAGGAGGTCTAAACTCAAAGGTCCTGCAGCCACTGGGAACGAACGCTTGCCCTGTAGGACTCTGGACGTGCTTGGCCTCCCTGCTGCTGGCTGTAGCCTGCGT